CCGGAGAAGCGCCTCTGGAGGACACGCGCCAAGTTGGGGAAGGCGCCCTCCGCTTGCGCCGGAGGGGTCTGCAGGCGATCAAGGACCTCCGAAGAGACCCCTTCCTCCTCCTCTTTTTCTAGACGTGCTTTCTTGTTTGGGACCAGCGCGGCGTCCCCACCGTCGCTCAGGCTGCTGCTTCGCCGCTTGCGGCTGGCTTTGGCCGGGCGTTGGGCACAGAGGGCAGGGCTCTCCTCGGCTCTCGGCGTCTCCTGCGTGTCCATGGGTTCCGGAAAGGACTGCTCACCGTCGGGGGCAGATGCCTTGGCTGCGGCTTCCGCTTCTCGCGGCGGATGCAGGCGAGGGTCAGGGGAGCGGGCGGGCGGCAAGGGCACCTCAGGCTCGTGGGCTTCCACCTTGGCTGAGAGGTAGAGCTCCCGGGCGCTGCGCATGACCAGCGACAGCTGCAGACTCCGGTGCAGCCGCAGGCCACCGCGCTGCATGCGCGAATGGTACATCTTCCACACCGACAGGGTCATGATGCGTTGCGCCTCCTTCTGTACTTCCATGGCGGCTCGACGGTGGGTACGAGGGCGGTCGGAACTCCCGACTGGACAGGACAGGGCAGGTAACAGGTGCACTCTGGACAACGCGCTCGTTCACGCCTCTCTCTACAGGACAACCCACGATGAGACACTGCTAGGACGCTCTGCCCGGGCGCCCGCCACCCGGGCCCTTTTGTACTAGGAGTGAAGTCACGAAGACGCCCCGCCCAATCAGAGAGCCGCATCCGGGCTTTCCATAGCGCCGCAGCGAGGGACTCCTTAAAGTGACAGGGTGGAATTCACCGCGCGGAGAAAAGGAACTCGAACAAGAAGGAGCATTCTCCACTCCAGGCTGACTCTCGGAGTGGTCTCCTTTCTCAGAGCCCACCACTGCACCAGCTTGCAGGCCCAGGGCAGAGGGGCTGTGGATGGGCTCAGGGCCCACCCACGGGTTGCACTGTAGACCTAGCCGGTCGTAGGCGGCAAGTTTCCCTTCACACCGGGGAAGACCCGGGTTCTAGCCGACACCTCCCCCGTGGAAACAGTGCCTAACATCTACCAGGCGCCTAATTAGTTATTTTTTTTAATCAGTAACGATGCTAACACTTACTAAGCACTTACTACGTGCCAGGCACTAAGGGCTTTCCTTTCATAAATATCTCATTGATCTACCACCTCCACTCCTCGGAGGGTGTTATACCTAATTTCTTCAGGTGAGGAAAACTGAGGCGAGTGACTCCTTCAATATTTGCCCTTGTTTGGAGGTGGTAAGAAGGCAGGGCTCGCTGGCTGGCTCCAGGACAAAGCTGCCCGCTTCACAGGCGGCGGATGTCTGTAAGCACTAGCGCTGCAGGCCAGGCTGCCATCTCCGCGCCCGCACTGAGCACCGCCTCCCCCCGCAGTTTCCCTGGGCACGAAATCCGTGGGCGTGTAGCTCGAAAGGCGGAGGACCCGGCCGTACCACAGTGAACACGTGGCTTCGGTCCCCCTAACCACGTAGCAGTGCTCAGCCTCAGCTCCCCGGGAGGCGGAGTTGGAGTACGAGCTGGAAACTGAGCGACGCAGATAGATAGAAAACATTGGCCCCACCTTCCGCTCCGCGCCAAGATTCCAACCTAATTCCAATTCCTCAAAAAATGCAAAATTGTTCGAAAAACTCCATTCATTCCTGGTGCGGGCCCTTTAAGAGGAGGTTCTCCCACCCCTCGTCGGCGCGAGAGCCTTCCCGCCACTTGAACGGCCAGACTTCCACGACTAAATTTGGAAGTAATGACGTAGGGCATGCGAGCCAGCCGCTTCCGGCAGCCCATATAAGGACAGGAGCCGGACCTCTATACTGGACAGTAGCCGGCTTCTTCCGGCCGGGCGGGGGTGGTGCCTTAGCCTCCGGACACGCCCCCTCCGCTCCCCAGCTCCCGGCAGCTAGGGCTGGCTGAAGCCCCAGGTTTCCGGAGCGGCCTCCGGGGGCCGGCGGAAAGGGAGAGGAAAATTTTGCTTCCTTCCCTCCGGAGGCCAGGAATCTGTGACGACCCTTCGGGAAAGCCCCCTGCCGGCGGGTAGGAGCCACCTCAGGGCTCACAGACGCCACCTCCCAGATACCTACACAGAGACCTTGCCAACACAAGCAGCTGCTCCCTGACGACCCCTCCATGGAGACCCTGCCAGGCCCCCTTCTATGTATTCCTCCCCCTCCCCACAAAATTGATCCTCTCGTGCACCTCTGGAGCAAGCTCAGGTCCCCCACACCCAACCCCGGCACATGGGGACTCTTAACAATTATTCTCTCTTCTAAAAAACTAAGGCCTCTCTCACTCCCTCCTCTTCCGAGACAGCCTGCACTGTCTATGGAGTGTGTACCTACTTTCACTTTAACTGAGCACCCAACCCCCACACCTCTTGGTCTTTCTCTTGCCTTTCGAAACAGCCTACATTCTATGTAGTATGTATCTCTCTAAATAAATCTACCTTTGCTCAAATAAATAAAAACATTCCCAAACTGTCCCCATTTAGCGATCCTGCCACATATTACGGCGACCTGCTGAGGACGCTCTCAACTCCGCCCCCCTTACCCCCAACCCCACCTTGAGACTCCACAATGACAAGCCCAGCCAGCCCAGGCGCTATCTCCGACAAACAACAGAGGCAACCCTCCAAGGACTTCCTCAGACATCTCGCTGGAGAGATCAGGATCCCACTCATGCGACGGCTGCCCCCTCGCAAAAAGTGCTTTCCCAGAGACCCCACACAGAAAAGGCTCGGTCACACAGGCGGCAGCGCCCTGAGTCTCCAGACATTACTGGCCCCTCCCCACACGCAGAGGACTTCCCTGCAGATCATTCTCAGAGCCACCCCAGCGTCGCACTCAGAAGGACTCCATCTCCAGAAGCATCCCCAGGATCCCCACTCACGGCCACCCCACCCTAGGGCAACCCCGAGGCGCCCCTCCTGCGCAGGAGAAAAGAGGAGGGGAGAGTCCAGCAGAACTGCCCACAGAAAGCCCCCGCTTCACCCCGCCCCCCGGGAAGGTGGGGAGACCACCTCTCCCCATACCCCTTCTCAAACCTACCACTCCCGATCCTGGGCTGGGACCATCTCCCAAGGCGGGATCTAGGTGCAGGCTCAGGGAGTCCGTTAAAATGATCTACAAATTGAATGAGCCCCTTCCCCAGCCATGATCTCGCCTGATTTGAAAGAGACTGTTATTATTTACATTGCTCAGAAGGGAAACTGAGGGTGCGCAGCAACAATCCGAAGGCTGGGTCTCGAACCGAGGGATTCGGAGCTCCGACTAGAACCCAGACAGACAGAAGTAGGACACTGCTGGGGGCCAGGAGGAGAAAAGAGGTACATGCGGACAGGAAGCCGTCTCTACCCAAAACCAAGATGGCCGCAGAGAGAACGGAAGTTTCTGCACTTCGGACGTCCTAGGCCTCTCTTTCTCTCCCTGGCGGACCCGCTCTCGATGGTGGTACGGGTCACGTGACGGGGGCGGGGTGACGGCGCATTCTGCACGGCTTGGAGGGAACCAGCTTCTGAGGCCGACAGGGGAGGGGGCTCGGCCTTGGACAAGTTGGGGGGCGTGACATGTCTCTCGAAGATCCGTTTTTTGTAGTCCGAGGGTGAGTGACAGCGATTGCGGAGGTCAGAGAGTGTTCTGTCCCCCTGCCAGCCAGTGCCTGGGTGCCAGCCGGGGCGTGCCAGGCATCCTGGGCATCAACGTAGGGATCGCCCCTTGGCCGTGTGGGAGGGGTACACATGGGGATATGAGGGTCTCCTGAGCCCCCACCTCATTTGGGGGCGCAGAGGTGGATAGGATGATCGCATGCCTTCAGCCGCGCCCGCTGTGTTCCTGCCTGCAGCGAGGTGCAGAAGGCGGTGAATACGGCCCGCGGTCTGTACCAGCGGTGGTGCGAGCTCCTCCAGGAGGGCGCGGCAGTCGGACGCGAGGAGCTGGACTGGACGACCAATGAGCTGCGCAATGGCCTGCGCAGCATCGAGTGGGACCTCGAGGACCTGGAGGAGACCATCGATATCCTGGGGGGGGGGTTGGAGGGCGGCATGGGAGAGCTCATTGCAGTGGCAGGGGTGGGGAGGCTGGACACCTACGAGGTGCTGAGAGCTTTGAGGCAGAGGAGGGCGTCATATTTGGCTCTGGTCTTGACTCTTGACTCGTGGCTTACGCATAGTGGAAGCTAACCCAAGCAAGTTCAAACTCCCAGCCGGAGACCTGCAGGAGAGAAAAGTGTTTGTGGAGAGGATGCGGGAAGAAGTCCAGGTGAAGAGAGTTTCCAGTGGCGTGAGTGTGGGGAAGATGGGTATTTTTACTCTCTGATGCTGTCCTCACCCCTAGGAAATGAAGGACCATATGGTCAGCCCCGCAGCCATAGCCTTCATGGAGAGGAATAATAGAGAGGTAAGGCATCCTGACCCACTATCCTCAGTCTTTCGGATTGACCCTACCCCTTGAGTGTGTGCCTGACCCCCCTGTATGTGTTCAGCTGTCTCCTTCTGTGTCAACATCCATCTTCTCTGTGTGCAGTTGTCTCCATGCTGTCTGCTTGCTTGCACTTTCTGGATGTGTACACCTGAGCTCTCTCTCTCTGTATCATCTCTTCTGCCTTCTCCTGTGGGTTTGTACTGATTTCCTCTGTGTGTGAGTGTTTGTGTGTGGTGGCCTCGCTCCATTTTTTGCTTTCTGTGTTACTGTTTCCAGGATATATGCTTACCTTTTTCCTCTATCGATGCACTTGACCTATCTGAGCCTGAACTTGGCCTCTAAGTGGATCCCCGTTCCCCGTCTGCTTTTGTGCATACACACCATTTCTCTCTGTGAGGGGCGCTTGCCCCATGCGTGTGCCCACTCTGCCCCCTGCTGCCTCTGTTTGTACACCTGTTCCCTCCATTTTGTGTGTTTATTCTTTGCGTGTTGTGAAACACCAGCCTCACCCTATAAACCCACATAGGGTCTGGGAGTGTCAGAGGCTGAGGCCTGCACCAGCTTGGAGTCCTGTAGCAGAGGCCACATGCCTTCCAGATGTGCTGCTTTGGGGATTAAAGTTCGATTCTTAAATACATGTGTTTATATGATAATAAATTTTCTCCAGGGATTCATTCGTTCAATCCTCATTCATGCCAACCTCAGGAAACAGGGATTATAGCTCTCCCCATTTTACAGACAAGGAGCCTGAGGCACAGGCAGGTCAAGTGATATGGTCTTGGGGTCACCTTGCTGGTAAGTGATGGCTCGAGGCACCCAGGCCATCCCACTCCAGAGACTGCCTTCCTGACTAACCACTGTCTAGATTTGCCACAAACCTTGTCTGTCTTTGCTGTGACTCACTGAGCCTGTGGTCTGGGCCCCTGCAGACGTTGACGAGCAAGCCAGCCACCCTGAAGTCATCTAGTGACTTGTTGGACGCCAGTGTGGTCTCTGCCACCTCTCGCTACATTGAAGAGCAGCAGGCCACGCAGCAGGTTTGTGTGGGAGGCTGAAGGCCCTGGACTGGAAGCCCTGGGCTACAGCTCAGGGCTCCCTGCTGACAGCAGTATCCACCTCTACAATCTGCAGCTGATCATGGACCAACAGGATCACCAGCTGGAAATGGTGTCTGGGAGCATCCAGGTTCTGAAACACATGTCTGGCCGCGTCAGGGAGGAGCTGGATGAGCAGGGCATGTGAGGCCAGGACCCTGGGGGTGGGCCAGGAGCCCTCGGCCAGCTGCACTGGCGTGCACAGACTCTTCAGGGGCTGATGCCATCCTGATCTCGGCAGTATGCTGGATGCCTTTGCTCATGAGATGGACCACACCCAGTCTCGGATGGATGGGGTTCTCAGGAAGATGGCCAAAGTATCCCACATGCCAGTGGTGAGTCTGCTGGGGAGTGATTCGGCAATGGGCAGAGGGTGCTGTCGGGGTGCGTCGCCTCCCGTCGTCGGTCGAACGTCGTTCGACCGTACCGTTTTTCGGCCCCCGTAGGACCCCGTCCGTACCGTACGGTTCGGGTTCGGTTC